TGAAGTGGGTGGGAGGTGGGAAGCAAAATTCTCCATCGTCAGCCCCTAGTTCGGACCGGATATAGTTCGGCTGTGAGTCCTTCGTTAAGGACAAGTTTTTTTAATGAGTTTAGCACATCGCCCAAAGGCGAGTGCTGGAAGATATCTGCGGCGCTGAATTTGAAGATCGATAAACAATCCAGTTCGGCATCCGCATGTTCACATGGTTCGGTACTTACGGCCGGAGGCAAGTCCGGAGTTCCGGTGGCACAGGTATCATATGAGATCAAGTCTATGTGTGGCTCCAACGCCGGGGAATCTGTGGCCTCCATGGCAGGGTTGAGCCTCTGGTCCTTGGATGGCGCAGTCTGCTCCGGATTTGAGGCCAGAGCGGTTATGGGAGCTGTCTCCTGGATGCCGTCCGATGACAGATTTAGGTCATGTCTCTCGGGGTGGCCAGGAGTGGTAACCGCAGTCTCAAATCCGGCGAAGATCAAGTCTCCACGGATGTCCGCAACATAGTTCAAGCTCCCAAACCTGACCTGATGGCCAGGGGTGTAGCTCTCTATCTGCTCCAGGCGGCCAAACGAGTTGGCCCGCATTGCGAAGCAGCCGAACACGAAGATCCGTCCGGGTAGAAAGGTTTCTCCTTGGACATCATCACTATCGATGATTGAAGGGGCCATCAAACCTTTCGTCGACGGCATAATGGAACTCTCAATGAAAGCACCAATGTCGGTGTCAAAACCGGTGGATCTCGGGTAGGGGGTCCCGAACTGTGCGTCTAAGGTCGATGGTAACAGGAGACAGGGGACACGATGTTTACCCAGGTTCGGGCCCTCTCTATGGAGGTAATACCCTACGTCCTGCTTGATTGATATTGATGAATACGAGTATTACAAGACTTGATCTACCTAGAGATCATAATGGCTAAACCCTAAAGGTCTAGCTTGTATGGCTATGATAATGAATCTCTCTCTTTCCGGACTAAGTCCCCTGGTTTATATAGACACCAAGAGGATCTAGGGTTACACAAGGTCGGTTACAAAGAAAGGAATCTACATATTTGGTCGCCAAGCTTGCCTTCCACGCCAAGGAGAGTCCTATCCGGACACGGGTGCAGTCTTCGGTCTTTGTATCTTCACATCCCATCAGTCTGGCCCATGGTTAATAGGCCGGACGCCCGAGGACCCTTAGTCCAGGACTACCTCAAGGAGCGCCCGTAGTCAGGCCCCGGGGATGTAGCCATATCGGCGAACCTTATTAACAAATCTCGGTGTCGTGCTCGTGTGATTGCTTGGTCCTCGGTAGATCGACGGTGGCCTCAGATTTATTCTAAAGAGTTGTATCATGAGCAAGGTTTAAGATCGAGACGGATCATGTTGATCTAGAGGAAGTATTGAGTTTGAGATGTAGTTGGCTGTGGTGGCCGGTGTGGTTCTCGGCGAGATTGGATCAACAGAAGGTTACGCGCGTTGCGGCGATAGAGACGTGTGGCGATCGGATTGATCGGGCGAGCGTACAGGAGCGCGTGCATGAAGCAGTGAGACAGCACGCCGCACGGGCAGGCAGACAGCAGGTCGGTTGGTTCCATCGATGGGAGCTGTAGAAGCCCCGTGCGTGTGGGCAGCTGCCCCCAGGTGCGCACGGCTGCAGGCGGGCGAACCGAAGCCAACGCAGCTTGTGGGCATGGGCCTAGGACGTGCCAAGCTGGCCCAGATGGTTAGTTGTGTGCGTGCTTGATGGGCTAGGCCCTTGTGTAGCTACGAGGTCAGGCATGATGCTGCTGCACGGGACGTGATTGCCTAGGCTTAGTGCTGATATGATGTGCTTCGCTAAAAAAGAAGTGTTGATATGATGTGCAACACACGAGAGGTGAGATCTGTTTTGGACAAAAAGAGGACCGAGTCCTCGTGTGACACAGAGAGGCAGGAGCAAATCAAATTGGTGAAGAAAAATCACGTGGTAATACACCAGGGGAGCATGGGCACAGGCAAAGAAATAGCCAGCATCGGGAATTGAGCTAACGATATTTTTCACACGGTCAGCTATACGAAGAATCATGGCGCCAATGGGTACCTGTTTTGAGGTGGAGAAGTTCAACGGGACAAAAAACCTTAGGTTATGGCACACAAGATGAAAATTTTGTTGGTGCAATAGGGACACTTGAAGGCGTGGCAGGAAGTGAGGTCAGCTGAGATGGAATTATCATGCGATGGACGGAAATTCACATAAGACGATTTGGGAGCCTCGAGTGTGTCATACAATCAGATAAGTTCGGTTGGGTCGGACTAGGCAGTCTGACGGATCGACGCAAGTCGGTTGGTATAGAAGACAATGTGGGATCGGCGACAGCGACATAGGAGCGGGATGCTGATGGTGACTGACTTCTGGGGCATGGAAACATGTGGCGCGGGTCCGAGGGCTTGTGTGGCTTCGACAAGACTATGGCGCGGGGTTGATTCAAGGTGGTGTACACATAGAGCTTGATGTCGACGGGGCGCGAGGGTGGACTGATCATCTACCATGGAGTCATGTTGAAGGTGGAGCTGGATTGAGGGGCTACGGTGTAAGGATCCAGGGAATTGAAGCCTATTCAGCAAGGGGGAAAAAGCGAGTGACATGCAGTTCAGACTGGAGCCCAGTGGTTTGATGGAAGCGTGAAACTCGTCATCGGTCGGTGATGATCGGTGGTACTCTGCAGTGGGGGTTGAGTGGTGTGGGTTCGTGACTCTTGAGACTCGACCGAGACAGCAGAGGCTTGACGCGGTAATAGCAGCGTGGCGTGCGGTTATGCACGAGACATGGAGACGGGCTAGGGCTCTAGTGGTCATACATGTGATGAGACAACTGCGAATTTGACTCGGGGTGACTACAAGCAATGGTGAAACTCCTTCAAGTTTCAGATAGGCTGTCAAGTAAGAGCGGTGATGTTGAGTTCAGGTAACTCTTCTATGTGACACCCAATATGTGAGTTGTTCACTTTCAGGCAGGTCAGTGATCGGTGTGTGATGGCGTTGGACGGATACTCTGAAAGTTGGGAGCACAAACTAGAGTGACAAGGAACTTAATTTTGCTCGAGTGTTGGCTGTGGTCAAGAAAAGGAGGGACTACAAGTTATAGGTGGAGTCACATGGAGTCTTTGGGAGTAGCAGTGGTGCTCATGGCGTGTCTCAAGTCCAATGTACGTGGAGATTCGACGCATGGATGAATCCAAAGTGGTGGGGAATATTCGCCAAGGTGAAGTTTGTTAAAGTTGTGTTGTGTTTAAATAGGATATGGAGTCGTGTCCTAATAGGACACTTGTATCCTAGACCTCTCATATATAGCGGGGGTAAACACACGATATAACCTATGCCAAACATAATAGCACATGAATGCAGGGGAAGCCGGCGGCATGTGTCGACGTCCAGGGTGACCTAGTGCGGTATTTTGACAGTGTTACAGGGAGGAGCGCCCGTAGTCAGGCCTCGGGGATGTAGCCATATCGGTGAACCTTGTCAATAAATCTCGGTATCGTGCTCGTGTGATTGCTTGGTCCTCGATAGATCGACGATGGCCTTGGATTTATTCTAACAGCAATGGCAAGAAAAAAAACATATTTAGAAATCCAAAACAGTGCAAAGGGCATAAAGAAGAGCACCGTGAGGGGACAGACCATGGTGGGAGAACAACAAGTTGAGAGGCATAGACACATCTAGTTTTTTTAAAATATAATACAATTGAAGTCGCTCACATACACAAGTATATATTCACTCATATGAACACAAACATGCACACCGACATAACATCTTGAGGTTTTACGAAGTCACTACAGACATTTCGCAGTCGACGGAAACCTCACCTCTCACCAAACGAATATCACCGAAAGGCTTAAATAAATCCAGAAATAATACAAACACTAATGACACATCGGTTAGCCCGAAGGGTGTTCACCGAAATTTCGGTTTATATATTGTCATTAAACCATGACATGTTATCGTAGCTATTGTTGTGATCGAAAAATCAATTTCGGACCAGATCACCCGGACTGCAGGAGGAGGGAGCTCATACTAGGCCGGGGCGGCGTACAAGGTGTTCTTTAAGGACACTCTGAGCACAGGCCACGGCATCGTCATCTGGAAAGGTTGGGCGCCGGGCATCGTCAAGATGTTTGCATGGCTGCTATACAACAACAGAGTCTGGTGTAATGACAGATTGCAGAGGAGGGGGTGGCCAAACGGCTACTTCTGCGGCCTCTGCTTGAGACGTCTTGAATCTTCGCTGCATCTCATCTGGGACTGCCCCTTCTCCAGGATGGTGTGGAGCACCGTTGCCACATGGAGCGGCTGCGAGGCGCTGGGCTCAAGCCGGCGGCCTGCCCACAATTCTCTACAGCATTGCCAGTCGATGATCAGCCGCATGCCGGCCGGCCAGAGGAGGGGAGCCAAATCGATGGCCATGCTGGGGGCTTGGCACATCTGGAAGGAGCGAAACGCATACGTTTTCAGAGGGAAAACGGCACATACTGATAATGTGCTTCAAGCCATTAGGTTTGATCTTCAGTCTTGGAGGTCTGCTGGTGCCGCATGCCTAGAGCCTCCATTCGGAGACGCACCTGTGAGGGAGTGACCCTGTGCTGGGCGTCTCTCGACGCTGCCTTTTGTTTTTCTCTCTGCTCCTGTGAGCTTTTCCTTTTTATCATGATCACTTGATCTCCGCATGTTTCCCGTATGCTTCCTTCTAAATCAATTAAGCCAGCCAAAGCCGGATCTTCCAATAAAATAAAATAAAATAATTATATAGAAGGAAAAGGAGACCTCCTCTGAAATAAGCCAGACGTGCTTTTATTTATCGATAATAATGTCTCTGCTCTTACTCGTCTCGCGGTCACGCGATCCGCACGTGCCTCTCTAGACTAGTCTCTCTCCCCGTCTTCCGCCGCGTCAGATCACGCGCCGCTCCCCCCGGTCGCCCTAGCGCCGCCACCAAACGATCCCCCAAACCACGAGACCACCCGCCTGCGGCTGGCCGGCGCAGGGATGGGCGACGAGGCCAAGTACCTGGAGACGGCGCGGGCGGACCGCTCCGTGTGGCTCATGAAGTGCCCCCCCGTCGTCTCCCAGGCCTGGCAGGGCGCCTCCTCCTCCTCCGGCGATGCTAACCCTAACCCGGTCGTCGCCAAGGTCGTGCTGTCCCTCGACCCCCTCAGCTCCGCCGAGCCCTCCCTCCAGGCAAGGACCCCGCTGTTCCCCTTGTCCCCCGTGCTTCTGATTGGTGCGCGGATTTGTTGGTTAGAGTCGCCTCGATTGAACTGCACAACCAATGGGTTGGTACGGGAGCTGTGTAGTTGCTGATGATATGGTTGAACACATTTAGATGCTTGTTTTAATCAGGTAGCATTAGGTGCTTGATGAGAATATAAACTGTGATGGAGACAATTGTGCTCATGAACAACAACCCGTCTTCTGTATATAATTTCGGGATTTATTTGAGTCCGCAAGGTAGGCTAGGAACAAGCTTGGTGAAGGATGGTTGAACTGCAGCATATAGTTTGTTAATAGATGATGAAGTGGATGGGTAAATGGTAATCTCTTATGCTAGGATTGATTTGGTAGGTGGAAGAGAAAATACATTCTGCATGAGTTAATTAAGTAATCGATGTATTCTACATTACACCATGAATGAAGAGCATAAAACTCTTGTGCAGATTGAACTTAGTGCACTGAAGATATTCATTTGAAGAACTGCATGGCATACTGCTGTCCCAACTGTTAATTATCACTCATTCTATGTCTGTATCATACTCATTATTTCTTGCTTGTGGTGCTTATTGTTCTTACAACTTGTTATTTGGAATGGCAGTTCAAGATGGAGATGTCTCAAACTAGTGTAGCCAGCACTTGCAATCTACCAAAGAGTTACTCCTTGAATATGTTCAAGGATTTTGTACCCATGTGTGTTTTCTCTGAGACTAATCAAGGTATGAAACAAATTCCCTGCTCGTTATCATTCTAGTGCATGCGTGAATGTTTTCTTATTTGTGTATCTTGCTGCCCTGGATATTCCGTTATCCTGACTGATGTACTTGGTTTGGGTTTGCACTTTGGTTCTGCCTATGTACTTTTGGTTTAGCACAGATTTTGATTTTATATGCAACAGTTATCTTGTGGAAACATTTAAATGTGCTGAACTATAATTCTGTGATGTGTCATTTTTCTAATATTCCGCACATGCTGCATTTTTTTAGAAGAGAGCTAGACGCACGAGCTTCAAATGTTTTATCTATACATTCGTAGTTGTCGATATGAACTTGTTAAGTTCTGCAAATGGTTTCAGTCCCAAACCTTTTGCACTGTACTCATGAGAAATGAATCCACACAGTTACTTATACATTAACTTTCGACCTTATTCTTCGTATATTTGTCTATATTGGCTATTGTGTCTGCTTGAATATTCTAAACCCACAAGTTTCAGGATTTGGAATCTACTACTACTACTACTACTAGTAGTAGTAGTAGTAGTAGGTGTCTCGGTGGTGATTGCATTTGTTTCCAAGATTAGTATTTTCTTGACATGTAATTCATGTCTAGCATGTACTCCCTCGTCCCATAATATAAGACGCCTTTTCAAGCTAACATAGCTTGCAAAAACGTCTTACATTATGGGAAGGAGGGAGTACTTTGGTTCATATAGAATTAATGTATTTTGGTTTGGCCAGTGTTCTGTTAGGTGATCAGATGCTTTAGTCTGTGGGGACATTTTACTTAATTGATGTGTGATCACTGAGTGCATAGTGCCTTCGATTCCCCAAATCTCAATAAATATTGCCATCAAATGTGGCGTAGTTTTGGGTTGTTTTTCCATGCAATCTTCTCTCTGCAGTGATGTTCTGTTTTCACTCTGTAAATTTGAAATGTACTCCCTCCGTTCCAAATTACTCGTCGCAGAAATGGATGTATCTAGAACTAAAATACATCTAGATACATCCATATCTGCGACAAGTAATTCGGAACGGAGGGAGTATGAGATATCAATGTTCACCGTGCTCCCTGAGCAATCTTGCATAATTTATGCACATTGATACATCCTTTCAGTTATTTCAGAAAAATAGGGAGACTACTGTCATATGTGGTGCTGTCTAAAGCTTAACTTGCTGAGCTGCTTCTAGATTCATATAGCTCACTAAGCAACATTGAAACCCCCAACTGCTAACTTCAGTTGGCCTACACCGGTAACAGGTTACCATTGGCAGGTTACTGCCTGTAACATGATTGAAAAGTTTGCACTTACTAGCAGCTCTGTGGTTCTTGGTTCTCTTGCAGTGGCACAATGGCACTTATTAGTTTTAAATATGACTGAAGCATAACCTCTGTTTGTTGCAGGAAAACTCTCATGCGAAGGAAAAGTCGAGCATAAATTCGACATGGAACCTCACAAGGATAACTTATTAAACTACGCGAAGTTATGCCGTGAAAGAACACAAAAGTCGATGGTTAAAACTAGAAAAGTGCAGGTGGAGTGCTTCAATGACCCTTTCACCTTATTGCGTCTTTAGGGTATTATAATTAACCATTGTCTTCACTGCTTTTAGGTACTTGATAATGACCACGGAATGAGCATGAGGCCCATGCCTGGCATGGTTGGTCTGATATCTTCTAGTTCCAAGGTAGTTGCTTCTTCTGCCATTTGAGGATCATCCATTGTGCTTTCGTCCATATTGATATATATATGTCAACAGTTGTTCAATGTTCAAAAAAGTGGAAAGCGTAAGCGAAGCGGAAGGCCACAGCTTAGAGCAATGGGCGCTTAAGCTTTTGTTGAATTTGGCTAGAATTTGACAGTTTGAATAATATACACAGGAAAATAGGAAACATGGCACATCGGTAATTGAAATAGTATCTAAAATACAGTTCACACCATAGCAAATACACAACAGGTTCACATAGCAAGCAAAATAACAACTCAAATGCAGATCAGTTCAAATAGACATAACCTAATAGAGATTATGTGGTCAGAATTTTGCTAGAATATGAAGGAAATAGTTCCCGAACAGAGCCTAATGATAAGATAAATGGTATATTGCCATTATTGCGCAAGCAGACAAGCATAAGTAGTTCAAAAACAGCCAATTTCTGGCCAAATAAAAAAATGCTTAATATACCCGCTTAGGGCAAAGTGAAGCGATTTGCCATCGCTTAAAAAACGCTTTCTTGAACACTGCATTTGTTAATACATCGAGGGGGTTTTAATATGTCATGCAATGTTTCCTGAACATAGATCCAAAGTTAAGTTTTGTACTCCCTCCATCCCATAATATTAGATCGTTTTGCAAGCTGTTTTAGCTTGTAAAACGATCTTATATTATGGGACGGAGGGGGTAGAACATACACCCATTTTCGTGTTATCTATACATCCATACATCCATACATTTTCGTGTTATATTAGCTTGTAAAACGATCTTATATTAAAGTGGAGTTTTTCTTCCACTTTAGATCCGTACATCCATTTTTGTTGCCCATCGTATTTAATTTGGCAATTATAACTTGTCATGACATATTTAATTTTGTGCTGTGCAGGAGAAGAGGAAGCCAACGCCAACCAAACCATCCGATGTCAAAAGGACACGTAGGGATCGCCGGGAACTGGAAAACATTATCTTCAAGCTTTTCGAAAAGCAGCCTAACTGGGCACTGAAGGCTCTAGTGCAAGAGACTGACCAGCCAGAGGTACCTCCTAAGCTTATCCCTGGCATCATTAGCAGGGGAAAATAAAAATCTGTCCTGCTAATATGAAGTGGTTTCGACTACAGATCTGCAATTTGTCTGTTTCTCAGTGACACACTTATTTACGCATCTGTTTGTGCTTGGCTCAATGCAGCAATTCCTCAAGGAGATATTGAACGACCTCTGTATGTACAACAAACGAGGGCCAAACCAGGGCACGCACGAGCTCAAGCCCGAGTACAAGAAGTCGTCTGAGGACGCTGCCGGTGCCCCGTGAAGATGATCTGTTTGGCGGCTGTTGTGTAACTGTGATACCAGGAACCTGTTGGCTTGATGCGCGGAACTATGAGTTGTCTATGTGAAGCCTCCAGTCATGCTTGGGCTGCATTTGCTTGCTTTTTATTAAGAGGCATTGTTGTAATTGTATGGGTATAAGATGATACATATACAACACATGTCACAGAGAGGAAATGGATCTACTGATAAACCACACGAAAGATTGTTTGATTTTCTGGGTAGATGTAAGAATCATGTCGAGGATTCGACGTGTGCGATCCTTGTTCCTTTTGAGAACTCCCGTACTTCAATACAATCCAGATGTTTCGGCTAAAACATATATGGAATCTAGCCTGATTTAAAGATGCGATGCACTATTCGTTGAACCATCCTGAATATAAGTCTTTTTAAAGATTCTAATATTAAGTCTTTCTAAATATTCCAATATAGACTACGCACGAAAGCAAAATGAATGAATCTACATTTAGAATGCGTCTATATACTGAAATCTCTAAAAAGTCTAATACAGAGAAAATAGTATTCTCTCCTCCCCAAATAAGTGTCTCTTACTTCATACTAAAATTATTTGAGACACTTATTTAGACAAAGTTTATACAAAGTACTTTCTCTGTTCCATAATGTACATTATGGATGAAGGGAGTACTTTCTACTAACTTGAGAGGAGACACTTACGCTCAAAAAAAAAAAAAAAAACTTGAGAGGAGACACTCGCGTCCTGGTGTCCGCTCCAGAGACCTCTCCACTGTTGGATTATTAATCAGACGGTGGATGAGAAAGAGCACCCCCCCTCCCCACTTCCCTCGCCTCGCTAAACCGCCCGCCGCTCCCTCCTCTCCTGCTCTGGGCTCCGGCCGCTTTCTTCTTCGCTGGCACCGCCGCTGCCGCTGCCGCCACGGCCCCCGCCGTCTCCAGGTAAACAAATCTTCTATTCCTCTCTGCCGCCTCTCTCCCCTCCTGGGAACAGTGCGCCATGTACGCCAGCTGTTCGTTGAAATGTCTCAGCGCTCACCGGCGCATTTCCGCCATCCGCGCGCTCCGTCCCTCCCTGCGATCCGCGGTAAGTCTATGATGGGAATCGGGCGGTAGCAGCAGTATGATCCCAGCATAAGGCCGCTCCTTCTGGATGAACTTGCGGCGCGGGAGGCGGCCATTGTATTGAGTAGAGAAAATTAAAATCAAATGATGCCCCGTGCTCTGCATTCTGGATTTCCTATTGAGTATGCGAATGGAATTCATACCTGCCAGTGCGTTAGCTACTTGGCTTAGTATGCCATCATTGTTCGTCTAGGAAGTGGACGACCTCATGGCAGAGATTCCTGGGCATTTGTGTTTAGGCTTATGCCAGACACCGTCCCTGAGTGTGTGCCTGAGAGAGACAACTCAAGCCGTTGCACTAGTTCTCTAGGCTTTCGGAAACTTGGACTCGTTTAGACATTGCCAGTCTACATAACTGAATAACAAACAAGCTCGTACGTCGCGGCATGTCATTGGAAAAAAATAACAATGCTCTGATATACTATTATTACTGTTCATATTGTCGACCCCGTTGCTCATGCCATCCGTTGTTAGTTCCCATTTCAGGTGATAAAGAACAAGCCTCTCGGAACAAAATTGCAAAACCTTGTTTAGAATGTGTCTTTTGGCCATTGTACTTTGTGTTTTCGCTGTCTCTTATATTTATGTATGCATTTAGTTACTCACAAGACCATTAAATATGTTTTAGTTACAATTGTCTCATGTTAGCTTGGAAGATATTCAGCTGTTTTCCTAATGCATATTCTCAGTCATATTGTATTTTGCTAGAAAAATATTACACTGGACACGTAAAAGGCTCAAGATCAAGAGAATTGATCTACTAGAGCAAAGTGTTGAAGGGGAACGATTGCTCTGGTTTTTTCTTTGCTTTATGTTCAAGGGGGAAATAAAGTTATTTTTCCAGTGATTTTGTTTGTGGTTATATCATTTAAACGTCCTTTTGTCTCTGCATTAGATTACCATGGGTTCTGTTGGCACTGGATTGCTGAAGGGCTTGAGGAGAGTCTTAGAGAAGCAAAGGAAACCAGTTGGTTGGTTATTTTCCTTTCTTATTCATTATGATTGATGATAAGCAGTCATACTGAGGAGTAAGGGGAAAGCTTCATTACTGGCTCTTTGTAGATTTATGCAGAACATCACGAGCTTGGAGTTCTACAGTTTCTTTCTCTGATATTGATGAGAAGGATGACATGGGTGATGATGGCGATTTGAAAGATTCAAGGAGAGAGTTAGAACCCCAAAGCGTGGACCCAAAGAAGGGCTGGGGATTCCGTGGTGTTCATAGGGTATTTATATGTTATGTGATACAGTGATTTGCTGCTTGGTTCCATGGACTCCAGGAGCATAAACTGACACTTATTGGTATGTTTTGTTCTTGCTAGGCTATAATATGTGGTAAAGTTGGACAAGCGCCTGTGCAGAAAATTTTACGTAATGGGCGGACGATAACTATATTTACTATTGGAACTGGTGGCATGTTTGACCAGAGGGTAATTGGGTCTGTGGATACACCAAAGCCGGCTCAGTGGCATCGAATAGCTGTTCATAGCGAGCATCTAGGTGCTTATGCTGTTCAGAAGTTGGTGAAAAAGTATGTGATTCAAATACAAACATTTCATCTTTTCTCTCCCCATATAGATGTAGCAAGTCTTGGATTTTATCTTCAGTTGGAACATCTTATCTTCATTCATGCCTTATTTCAGCTCTGCGGTATATATCGAGGGTGAAATCGAAACCAGAGTCTACAATGACGGCATTGATGGTCAAGTCAGGAATATACCGGAGATCTGTATTCGGGGTGATGGTATGCTGATCAACATTGACTAACAATTTAATGCGAATTCAGTTTTGTTGTAGTAATGTTTGATAAGGAGTAATTCTGTTATAATAATTTTTATAGATAACTCAGTGAATGTTGTATTTTGCTTGCTAATATTCTTTTTATTCTGTATATCTAACTGAACACAGCCATGCGTTCTGCCTTTTTCAATTATACTTTTGTTCTGTACTACTCCCTCTGTCCCATAATATAAGGGCGTTTTTGACACGTCCCATAATATAAGAGCGTTTTTGACACTCAAAAACACTCTTATATTATGGACGGAGGGAGTAGTTTACTATATCAGTCTTGCTAAATCTCAGTCGACTGAGACTTAGCTATGTCTCCGTCGATGCTATATTCGCGAGATCTTACATGAAATCCATGCAAAAAAACAGTTTTTTTCTTGTTCTTTCTTACTCCCTCCATTCCTAAATATTTGTCTTTACAGAGATTTCAAATGGACTACCACATACGGATGTAGTATATAGACATATTTTAGAGTGTACATTCACTCATTTTGCTCCGTATGTAGTCACTTGTTGAAATCTCTAGAAAGACAAATATTTAGGAACGGAGGGAGTACATGTTATGCACTTGACTGAGACTTGGTTAAATCTTAGTCGACTGAGACCTAGCCACACCCATTATGCATTCTCGTCATGCAAAAGCTAATCTTCTGAGTAATTGTTTTGTGTACAGGTAAGATTCGACTGGTTAAATCTGGGGAGAGTGCTGCTAGCATATCACTAGATGAGCTGAGTAAGTTTGATGACTATCTTAAGGTTCTGAAATACAGGAATGTTTCTTTTATTTATGTTCGTGGAGCATTATGTGTTAGTCCACGGTCTTCACAATGTTTGGCATACTGATGTATGTTTCTATATTATTAAACAAACCATGATAACAATAACCTTTGGACGCAGGAGACGAATTTTTCTAGTTACAGCTATCGATGTCAGCATAAGCAGGTCAGGACTAGATATCTTGCTTGAGGCCTTTTTCCAATGTGTGTGTTTTGTTAGCTTTAGTAGTGTTAGGTTTTGACTGTCGAGTCGTATCTAAATGTTGTGCTGGTTGCAAGTTCTGAGTTTTTTCTCCTTTCAGTTTCGCTTTAATTTTGCATTATTTGTGGAACACCTTCAACTATCGAGCATTACCCTCTCTCATTCAGTGTTATTGTGTTTCCATGGTTGAGAAACATCCACAATCGATACACATCCTTTTTACAACTTTCACGACCTTAAAGTAGGGGTAGAGCAGTATTAGTGAGTAGGATCAAGGCCGAAGCCAGGCTCTGGCCACTGCTGGCGCTGCTGGCCTTAGAGTCGTGCTGCCCACCTCATGGGATGTGCACTAGCATCTACTTTCTATCTGAAACCGCCTCCTAGGAGGATTGTAATTACAAACTCTCTCTTTTCAATGGAATGAAACGCATGGGTCCCCTGCGTTTTCTCAAAAAAAAAAAAAAAAAGAAAACTACGCTGTTGACCTATGCTGTAGACTTTCCCAGTAAGCAACATTCTGAAACAACACATCCCAATAAATGGCCAAACTGACTTCATAATGTGAGTTGTATCTTCATCGCGAGGAACTTTATGATGTTGGTACACTAGTGGTAATTCTGGCTTTACAGTATTCCAAACCTTGAATCCTAAGGCATTTTCCCTTTTATTCATGTTTTAATCTGTTTGTACATGTTGGTGGGCAGTAGACAGTTTTCTCTGGGATGCTCTAGGTATTTATGAAGAGTAGCACAGTGAGATCCAGCTAGGTCAAATCTTATTCCAAATTTTCTGGCCGATATGGTAACAAAGGAACACATTGAGCAGAAATTGCAGAGTTGAACTGGCAAAGTAACTGTTCACTCACTCTACATTATCATTATGAGAGTTTGTTTTCACTATATATCAACTGCATCAATTGTGAATGAGAACCGACCATATTTTAGAATCGAAGACAAACAATTGTAGAGGAAGTTATATTCTCCTCATGAAAAATAAAATGAAGGCAGAAAACCAGTTTCATATATATCCAGTGCATGAAGCTTGCATACATTCGGAAACATAACGATATTAAAACTTCATATCATAAGATTGAATCATATTTACAATTGACATGTTGCCTAGAAATATCAAACTTAAATTACTACAAATACAACTCTTCAGTAGATTGGCAGACTCACATCAGTAATGTCCAAAGATGACTCAGAGCATCATTGGGATGTTCCTTGCATCGAAAAGCTTCTCACCTAGTTAGAGTGAGCATGACTTTGCTGATGTTGAAGGCCTCCCCTTATCTCTTGAGCTCCTTCTGAGCATCTCCCTCATGCCATCGGCGACTCGTACAGCTGGGCTTGACAGAGCCATCCTGCAGAATGCCATATGCACCTTGATAGCCTCTTTGACGCCATCCTGACCCCTTCCTTCTCTACTGAGTTCATCCCCTACGGCCTCCGAGCATAAGCCGCAGAGCCATTCCCCTCCAAAGTTGGCCTTGACGCTCTTTATGTACTCCTGGGTGCACTCCTCTTTGAAGTCGCAGCATGTGCACCTCATTGGCTCGGTGTCCATCTTCAGTGTTGATGGAGACGATATGCGAAAAACAGGAGGAGCGTAGCAGCAGAGCTGGAGAAAGAGGGAGGGAGTGGACGAACAGAAGGGAGCGACGAGGGGACCTCGGGACTAGGTTGCTAGCCTACTTGTATGGAAAATTTCGAAGGGCTTGTTTTTTCCTTTGGCTTGTCTGCGTTAGCTTGATCGATTATTGAAATTCCAGGATTTGCCCTGGCCCATAGCATCTTGAGCAGTGCACTAGGTTGTGAGAGCATAATGTATTTGCATTGATGGGCTGACACTTTACTTGGTAAAAATGACGATGTGGAGAGACCTAGTTCACATGGCTGCAGCTGCGTTGAAGGTACAGGTGGGAGAAGATGTTGTTGGTCTTATTAGCTATGATCCTATGACAGTAACCCAGCTGGCGCAGTCCATGGGTGCCCCCTTGTACTTCTATGGTTTTCGCGCTACATTGAACTGCCAAAACATCTTATATTTAGGAACAAAGAGGTAGTACATCTTAACGGTCGTTGCATGTTCCCTAGAGCCTTACTTCCGTATGTGCTCATGTGGATCCCCAGTAGCTGAAATTTTACTTTGCTCAACTCCATTGTAACCTTATACTTTTGCTGCGCAGGTGGTGGCTCATAACTAGTGGCGAGTTAAGTTGAGAATAAGGGGAAGCTCCACCAAGCTGCTGCTGCTTTGTTGAAGCCTTGGAGGCTAAGATGGACACTGTCACATCTCAGCCTTGCCAGAAGCAGTTAAACTTTACCGGTGGATGCACGTAATACCTTCGCGGAACCCGCGGTCGTGTGGCGACCGGTGAACTGTTTTACGACGGTGGATGGATGATATGATGTACCGAATGATTGTTCAAGGTAGACATGGTAGATTGGTGTGTAGCGCGGCCCAGAAGGTCCCTGAGACTGAGAGCCATGCACTATTGTTCTCGTGTGAGTCATCTTGTGTAGGGGTGAAGTAATTTGGAATGGTCACAAAATTGCTGACTGTGGCTGCCTGACGTAGCGTCCACCATCGACCTGGGTGACTGACCATCTTGCGATCGCGCCCAAATGCCAGTAAAAATGGATGGCGGTGAATCCAGGGCCTGCTTGCCAAAATCACGGCACGCCCGTGAGATTTGGCTTAATTTGGGTAGCGCAGGCCTCAGCTCAGACGATTAGATCTCTGGGTGCGCACAAGTGGGTACGTAGGGTGGTCTGGGCGGAGCAGATGGCCGCGAGGACAACTGTCCGGCTCAGCTGTTGGGCAAGAGAGCAGCAATTGGTGCAGAGTGATCATGAACCTGTGATGTACTCAGCCACAGCGCGCGCCCGCCCGCCAACCTCCCCGCCGTTGGCCGTCCTCGCCGCCGACGGAGGCACGCGGAGCCCGGCCGCCGGCGCCGGGTGCGCGTGGCGTAGGTAGAGGCGCAAGGGGGCACCTGAGACAGGGACAGCGAGCCGCTCGTCCCGGCGCGTCGCGGGGGTACTGGTTGGACGGGCGCGCGTAGCGTACGAGGCTGGCTGGCGGGCGCACGGGGCCGTGCCGGGGGTCACGGGCGCGGGGGAAAAGCACGTGGACGTGCCGTGGAGTTTCTGGGCGCGGCCCCGACAGCCCCCGCAGGCCGTAGCCGGAGCCCGCAGCTAGGCTAGGGGGCTAGGGCTACTGCACCTCCACGTGAAACCTCCATTGCTTCCAGCTCCAGGTCACCTCCGGCCACGGCCAGGCCCCTACCCGTCCCTACGCATATACGTCGCTCCTTGGCCTGGCCTGGACCGGGCATCGTCTATCGTGGATCCATCCTGCAAGTCGAACCATGCATGCCGTCCGTCGATCCAGTCGCGCCTACCTCTAGTCGCCATGGGTATCTGTTGCTACGTGGTGCGGTTCAGACCTGCAGCTTGCGCCAGCAAACCAAGCAACCAGAAGAAGATCGACCCGGCCGGCGTCGATCGCCGGCGCGACTAACCCACAATCACAAGCGTTGGCGAATTCCTTCATGACTGTAAAGCCTGTAACTGACCAGATAATGCATGGCGCGTACTACTACTGTACTGAGTACTGAACCTCCACTTTGGACAAGGCCACAAGGGTGCCCATCTGTCAGACACGCCATGCCTAATTTCATAAGTATATGCCGATCATCCCGCAGGCCACGAGGCTGATACGTACGCCACCTGATTATACTCGATCGTTTCATTGTTTTTTTTGCTTTTCTTGTGGGTACGATCGTTTCAATGCTGTCTTATGATATACTCCCTCCGTTCAGAATAACTTGTTTCGGAAATTGATGTATTTAAAACTAAAATACGTCTAGATACATCCGTTTCTGCGACAAGTAATTCCGAACGGAGGGTCTGCTAGGAAGTGGTCTGGAGTTCTCTAAACCGTACCCATGAGTAAGATTTTCGACACCTCACTCGTAGGAGGAATGGTAGGCTGAAGCAAGGAGACATGGAATACCGGATAGTTGTATTCGCAACAATAAAAGTGAGTACCGGTAGATTTATTTTTTGACTGGAAAGAATACCGGTTGATGGACAATCATTCCGACTTGTAAGAGATTGCCCCCACCTTGGCCACTATTGCCAAGTGTCGATGATAAGTGAAATTATCTAGGGCTGGCCAATCAACACCCGATAACAAAGGACCACATGGGCCCCGGGTATAGATCAAGACATCATCATCTTTTTAATTTGATTTATGCAAAGTATAGTGCCCAACTCACATGGCAGCGCGCAAATGGGATAGGCCCATTCGGTCATTTCTCAATGGTAGGAGCCGTTTTCTTCGGGTTCTTTTTCTGTTTTACACTTTTTCCCCCCTAAAAGAGCACGTGTTTTTGGCTCATGTTATTACTCCCCCTGTGCTTGAAAAGAAGGCGTATAAGTTTTGGTTGAAGTCAAACAGTACAAAGTTTGACCAAGTTTGTAGAAAAAACTATCAACAACCACAACACTAGATAGGTATGATATGACAATATGTTTTATTGTGTATTTAATGATTGATTTGGCACGGATTTTACTTTGGTTCACTTCAATCAAAATTTATCGCCTTCTTTTCAAGAATGGAGGGACTACGTCTTTACCTGCCGGTTTGTATTGGTACATTCCTTGTGCAACTTTGTGTACATATATGTTAGCATAGTGGTTCGTTTCTCCTTGATCAAGAAAGCAAATGACCATGTTCTTTGTTGTAGATACTGTTATACGATCTTGCCATGATTTAAATACAGAAAATTATAGGTATTACTAATTATTTGTGAAGCAATCAACTATAATTCCATCTAAGTTTCGTTTTGGATGGAAGTCTTTTTAATTTAGAGGAGCCACAACTAAAATCCAAGGAGAGCAAGAGACTCAAGCTTGGAGATGCCCAAGGCACCCCCGATTTTTTTGATAGGAGGCTCAAAAGGCTAAGCTTGAATCAACCTTCCAGTATGACTTTGTTAAATTTTTTATTCATCCTTGCATTATGTGTAGTTTGTTGGAATGTCAGTTTTATTTTACCTTTTTGAATAAATAGTATCATCACATCTAAGAGTCACCTATGAGAAAGGGAGAGTTTTTCCTGGCTTGATCATTTGCCCTATGTACTCCACTTATCTCTATTATAGTAAAAGTGACAGAATAAACACTTGAAACTTCTTGTGTTTCATTTATACTTACGGAAATGGAAATCATGGTTGGCACTTGTGTTTAATACTATATCTTGGGCATACTTTCATTGACTTGGTACTCAATAATTAGACTTGCATGCTTGAGAAGAACAAGACCTAATAAAAACATGAACTGGAGTAGGAATGCATAGGATTAAATACTTGGCAATAGTTTTGACACATTCCGAAAGCCACTAAATTTGCATTAGTACAAAGCTCATGTTTATATTCATACTATGAGCTATGTTTACATTGAGTTGAAGTTGAGAAAAGTGTATTGATCATTATTATAAGCTGTTGCTTCTACAATGAGAGAAGTAATATGCTAATGAGAGAAAACGTATATTTATTTTACATGATGAACTTTTTTTAGATGCACGGTGAACAGTTCTTTGAATACTCATTGAACACTTTCTTAATACTCCGTGAGCATTTTCTTAAACCCATGAACACTCTTTTTAATTACATGAACATTTCAAATAATTTTTACATGACTATTTTTGAAATACACCTTGAATTTTTTGTAATACATGATCAACATTTGTATTTACACTATGAATATTTATTAAATAGAGGGTGGATTTTTTTAATATATGACAACTTTTTTTAATATGCATTGAATATTTTCTGAATACTCGACGAAAGTTAAAAAAACATGAACACTTTTTAAATTTTAGTAATACTTTTTTAATACAAGTCAATTATATTTTTAATTGCACTGTGATTTTCTAAATACATCATGAACATTTTTTAAAATACACAATGAACAGTTTTTTTTAATATGCGATGACCATTTTAAGGTAATATCCGATATTTTTTAGAAGTATATTAAATGAATTTTTTTCTCCCCCAAAAAAGATTAAAAGAAAATTTTCTAATGCACTACGAGCATTTCGAAGTAGTTTCTTCAGTAGAAGCGATCCCATACGGAACGTTACTTCGTAGGCCAGGCCCAACAGTGTGTCCTGTATGCGAGGCAGGCGTCTAGCTCGCTACAAGCGAGACATACACGCACCCTGGACACACCTCCCATGCCTGCATGCACTTCGATCAACCTCCTGCGCGCGCTGCACCGCACCACCCAAGCGTGGAGCATGCATGCATCCACGTGCCAAGCACGCCAAGAACACGTGTACGTACCAGCAGGCAGTACGAGCCGACCGACGAGAGGCGACGACATCATATCACTCGCGTGCACTCCTAGCTCGGTCGGTCTGCGTACGAAGTACGGCGACACCACCACCGCTTAACCGACCGACCGACGGGTCCTCATCCTGATCCTTGCTACCCACATACGCGCGCCAACATACACGCCGATCCATCTATTATCCATCGGGGCCAGGTCACGATGAGAGCGGCCGTACCCTTAGCGGCGCTCCTCGTCGTGCTCCTCCTGGTCGCCGCGGCGTGCGCGGGGAGGAGCGAGGAGGAGGACCCGGAGGTGACGGCGTGCAGGCAGCAGTGCGCGGGGCAGCGGCAGTTCGGCGCCGAGGAGCGGCGGTACTGCGCGGCGGCGTGCGACGAGTACGGCCGGATGAAGCGGCGCCGGGAGGAGGAGGAGGGCCGACGCAGCGCGGAGAAGGAGCGCGACCGGTGCCTGCACGAGTGCCGCGCCGCCGGCCCGCGCAAGCCGGGCTGCGAGCAGAGGTGCCTCGACGAGTACGAGCGGGCCACCCACCAAGGCACCAAGCCGGACGACGCCTGAAGAGAAGGATGATGACGTGGACGTTGTTGTTGCTTCTTGCGGAGTATTACTAGTCGAGCGAGTTGAAGCTTGTTTCGGGGTAGAAAAAAGTTGTGCAAGCTCAAGTCATCAATAAATAAACAAAGGAGTAGTCGACTGAATTTCAAATTTGGGCCAATCGATTTTGAGTAGTTTGTCAGAGTGAGAGGAGAAAGGGCTCGCTGATGGGCAACCCCATTATCTATCTTAGAATTTAGGGTGGGGCTTCGTCAAAGAAAAAGAACTAAACGCGGACGGGGCTAGAGGGATGGCTGAGGCGGCGGCAATGGGGCGGTTTAGCGGTGGGAGGCGGTTCAGCTGGGTTCAGGAAAGGGCGGGGCGGCGAGGCAGAAAATTACAAACATCTAGATAGGAGTATGACATTATTTCACATCGACTGGGCCACAGCCGCGTGCGAGAATCCCCAAAAAAGAACGTCCTGTGAGTGCGATGATTCGAACCGCGGACCTTCTGTTGGTGCACTCGTCTTACAAGCCATGGAAACAAAGTAGTTGTAGTGACAAAAAAAGTAGAGCGTAGTTTAAAGAACTAACTGTATTAACTAGATAACTACAAACAAATTTTCAAGTTTCATTTCTTTTTCCAAAATTATGAACATTTTTTGTTAAATGCGAGCAGGTTTCTAAACATTTTTTTTAGCTGTAAAGAAATTTTAAAAATTCCAGAACATTTTTGAATTCATCACAACAAAACTTTAAAATGTGAACAGAAATTCGGAGCAATATTTGAAAACATGGACGTTTTTAAAAATTCCAGAATATTGTTTTAAAATGTGAACATTTTTTGAATTGGTGAACACAATTTTTGAAAACACAAACATTTAAATTTTTTTCCAGAATATTGTTTTAAAATGTGAACGTTTTGTGAATTGGTGGACACAATTTTGAAAAAAAAACGATTTTTTTAATTCCAAAACATTGTTAGAATTGGTGAACAAACTAGCCTTATATAGAAAAGGATATGACTCAAAAGGTTGTGTCTCATTTGTATGCAGCTATGAGATTTTGAAGAAAGTTGGTGACCTAGTTCAATGCTTGGGAACTAAAAATCATATAAATGGTGGCTTAAAAAAACGTATGAAAACTCGAGTCCCTCCGACTCGGTTGCATATCTTTAAGAAAAAAATGGGTCGAAGATGGGCTTGCAACTGGGACATTTGAAAAATGGGTTATGCTCAAAAAATAAAAAAATAAACAATGTTGATAAGCTAAAAAGGGCAAAAAAAGGTGGACTAGTAACTAAGGGTTGGGGCTCACATTTTCCATATTTAAGATGAAATTGTACTTGCATAAAAAGTAGTCAATCACCCTAGTTGGTTGATGTGAACTTGTAATTGCAACAAAAAAACTTGGAGCCCAATTGCAAGTAGGTGGTGGACTTGTAGTTGGGATGAAGAAAAAAGGGGATACCTAGTCACAAAAATGAGGGTGGGCTTCTACTAAGCCAACAAAAAAGGTAAAAAATGTCATGATTTCAAATAGAGGATGTGCTTGCAACTAGGAGCAGAGAACCAGAAAGTGGCGGTGTTCGTTGTAAGCCGAGGGTGGAGTTGCAAACTGAGGCGACAACAAAAAAATGAGCCCATTTGCGAGCCGATGGTGGACTTGCAACTGGGGTGAAAACAAACTACGAGCCCAGACTTACAACTTGGAAAACTACACAAAACTACGATACCAGTTGCGAGTCGAGGGTGGACTTGTAACTAGAATGAAAAACAAACTACAGTCAATTGCGAGTCAAGGGTGGACTTGCAACTCGGATGAAAAATGAACTATGAGCCTAGTTGCAAGTCAAGGGTGGACTTGCAACTAGTACATTCTATACAAAACTATGATACCAGTTGCGAGTCAAGGGTGGGTTTGCATCTGGGACAAATACGAAATCACATGCTTAGTTACAAGTCAAGGGCGGGCTTGTAACTGGGATGACGCAAACTATGATCCTAGTTGCAAGTCAAGGGCAGACCTGCAACTAGGACAACTACACACAACTATGATATCATTTTCGAGTCGAGGTGGACTTGCAAATGGAACAATAATAAACTACGAGTTGAGTTGTGAGTCGAACATGGACCTGGAACTGGGATGAAAAACAAAACGCAAGCCCAGTTGCGACTCAAGGTTGGACTTGCAACTGTGACAAATATGAAACTATGAGCGCAGTTGAGAGTCTAGGATCGACATGCAATTAGGATGAAACAAACTACATGCCCAGTTGCAAGTCAAGGTGGACTTACAACTAAGATGAAAGACAAAACACAGGTCGAGTTGCGAGTTAAAGGCGAAGTTGCAATTGGGATGACACATACTATGGTCCTAATTGCGATTCAAGGACGTACTTCCAACTTAGACAACTAGACAAAACTACGATACCATTTGTGAGTCGAGGATGGACTTGCAACTGGGACACATGCCCAGTTGCCAGTCGAGGTTGGACTTGCAAATAGGACAACTACGAGCCCATTTGTTAGTCAAGGATGGAGATGTCATGCAACTGGGATAACTACAAAACTACAAGCCTAGTTGTGAGTCAAGGGTCGACTTGCAACAGGGATGAAATAAACTATGAGCCTAAATGCGAGTCAAGGGTGGACTTGCAACTGTGAGGAAAACAAAAACACCGACTCCAGTTGCGAGTCAAGTGGTGGGTTTGCAACTCAGACAACTACAAGCCCGTCCACCCTTGACTAACAACTGCGAGCCCAGTTGTTAGTCAGGGTTGGACTTGCAAGTAGGTCGACTACAGAACTACAAGCCCAATTGCAAGTCAATGGTCAACTTCCAACTGGGGTGAAATAAACTAAGGACCCAATTACTATTCAAGAGTGTCCCTGCAACTTGGATGTAAAAAATAACACAGACCGAGTTGCGAGTCATGGGTGGGCTTGCAACTGAGATAAAGAAACTACAGACCTAGTTACGAGTTGAGGCCGGACTAGTAACTGGGATGAAAAAACCTTTGAGTCTAGTTGCAAGAGGATTGTGGACTCGCAATACGGACAAACTACACAAAACCCCAACACCAGTTACAAAGTTGAGGGTGGACTAACAACAAGGATAATTATGAAACCACACGCCTAGTTGCAAGTTAAGGATGGACTTGTAACTATGATGAAACAAACTACAGTCCTAATTGCAAGTCAAGGGCGGACTTGCAACTAGGATAACTACACCAAACTACGATACCATTTGAATTCGGGGTGGGCTGTATCTGAAAAAATACAACTACGAGCCCAGTTGCGAGTCAAGCATGGACTTGCAACTAGGATGAAAAACAAAACACATTCCCATTTAGGAGTTGAGGGTGGGCTTGCAAACAACTATGAGCCCATTTGTGAGTTGAAGGTGGACTTGCAACTTGGACAACTACAAAACTATGAGCACAATTACGAGTCAAGGGTCGACTTGCAACTAGGATGTAACAAACTATGGACCGAGTTGTGAGTCAAGGGTGGACTTCAATTGGGATGAAAAAAATACAGACCAAGTTGTGAGTCAGGTGGGCTTGCAACTTGGATGAAATAAACTACGCACATAGTTACGAGTCGGGGGGGGGGGAGGGGATTGCAACTGGGACAACTACGAAACTACGAGCCTAATTGCGAGTCTGGGGTGGACCTGCAACTAGGATGAAACAAACTATGATCCTAGTTAGAGTCAAGGGTGGACTTGCAACTCGACAATTACACAAAACTACAATACCATTTGCGAAATGAACTGGAAAGCCAACTACTGCTATAGAGCTCCCTTTTTCACATACCTTCAGTTGTATATCACGGTCAAGAAATAACACACAAAACAGGCTGCCAACACGCCACGATAATGGGCCGATAAAAATGAAGGGAAATTGGCCAAAAAAAGGATGCACGACAACCAAACAACGACCAACGAATAAGGGGTTCGAGGGCTTGTAAAAAAAATAGAAACTAAATCGAACGGTGGCAAACTTAGATGAGAAATCGTTAAAAATTATCTAGATGCGATTTAGCAATCCCTACAAAAATATATGCATAAATATAGAAGGTATTCACAAAACTAAAAAATTTGTTTCCAAAATTTATAAAAAATATTAGCAAATATTATATTCATGAATTTGAAAAAAAGGATAAAAATAAAAGACAAAATAAATAAGAAGCAAACAAAAAAATCAAAAGAAAAACCGGACAAAGTTACGAGGCGGGTCGACATTTACAATTGTGTGTCTAATGATGGACATGCAACTGAACATCGACAAATACTTTTATCTGTTCCATACAAAATTGTGGTCATGTTAAAGACGTGCAATTGTAGTTGGGTAGCTTACAGTTGTGTGTCTACCAGAAGTCATGAATCAACTCTCCAAACAAATTATTCCTGTTCCCTAATTTCCAGTCACATTGGAAATGTGTAGTTGTGGAGCGATGACAACACTTTTTTTTCGACAAAGGGAATGTATTAATATCGCAGAGATACCAATTACACTCGGCCTATACAACAACGCAATATTGTAAAGACATTGCAGATGCACATAGCCAAAAACAATAAGAAGAAGAAGAAGAAGAAGAAAGGATCCCGCAACAGTGATCAATTCCTCGTAGCTGCAGCACGAACCACCACCTAGACAACACCCGAAGTCCTAATTCTCCAAAAGCGGCGCCCCCAAAAAGGAAACAGTGCAGAAACATCGTAATCGCCCGATCCTAGATCTTAGGTTTTCACCCTAGAGAAGATCCGCGCTCTCAAAACAATGCCTTCAACAAGGTCACTGCCAGACACAAACAATTAAGGCCAGACCTTGGGCTTTCACCCTGAAAGCTAAGACTCTGTACTCCACCTGTGTTGCCGCCCCCACTTGCCGCTGCCGCTGCCCTGAGTCATGAATCACCAAGCAAAGTCCTCATCGTCGCGATGATGATGGACAACACTTGCAATTGCGTGTTTGATGATGGACATACAACTCTCAAGTACAAAACAATTCATATC